AGATTTTTTCTGATTGTTTGCTTCCATGAGATTAAGAACTTCAATAAAAGAGGATTTTATTTTGTTATCTTTTAACAATCCTCTCACGAAAGGATTACTTAACTACTCTAGTAGCAAGATTTATAATAGATTTTAACATTTTGTTTGTCACTCTACCTTCTTGTACTGACATTTATTGCATATTAATATATGTATATAACTAGCTGAGTTATCCGGCGTTGCACGGTGAAAATTTATATTTGAAATGTACAGATCAGTATTTTTTTTCAGCAAATTATTCGGTAAGTAGACAAAAGCATTTAATCAAACAAAGCTTTATTTGAAATCAGAATTTACAATACGTCTTTATATACAACATTGCACGTTTTTCCAGAATGAGAGTATACATAAAGATTGTTAGCTGTTCCTACTCTAGAGCATCCTACATACAGTTGACCATGAGAGAAGCAGTCTTCTTGTAATTGTAGCCTAACAACTTTCACTGTTTGTCCCTGCGATTTGTTGACCGACATGACAAAACTTAATCTTACTGGAAATTGTAAGCGCCTAAACTGAAACGGCATCTCTGATGTTATTAGTGGTATCCTAGGAATAAAAGTATCTTCACCCTTGCCACAACTAGTTTGAATTTGTGCTTCAATGACATGAGGCTGTAATGCCTTTATTATTAATCTGGTACCATTGCAGAGCTTAAGCTTATCTATATTTCGTAGAAGCATTATAGGATCTCCAACTTTAAGTTGTAGTTGGTGAGGAAGCAATCCTGGAAATTCCAAAGAATTTAGAAACTCCGTTGGATAGTTGACACCTTCATTTTGATCGATAACTGTATCAATTGATTTGTAAATATAAGGATTCCCTGGAATATTTTGGAGTAGTTGTTGGTTGATAGAATTAACTGTCACATTTTTCGGTGTCAATATTGTTCTTTCACACATCCAAGTAAAGCCTTTGTAGTGATAACTAAAGTTAGTAAATACTTTTTCTGTTGATTAATTAACACTTTGGACCACTGTACTGATTGTAGATATAATGACTTTGTTGTCATGGTAAAAAAAAGTAATTACAAAAAAATGGCGCAATAATCATTAATTGTCAATTTCGTCATTAAATACTCTGCCAAATA